GCCTTTTTTTATACTGTTAGTTATTGCGTCTAATATATTGCAGACTTAGAAAGAGGAGGAAGAGCGATAAATGAAAAAGAGATAGCTGACAGAGTTTAGCAGCGACAGACGGAAGCACATTAAAGAGTAACCAGCGGCCTCGAGAGACAATTCTCTGGAGATCAGCAGATTATCATGGATGTAAACACCAAGGCTATGCATGTGAATGCTGGAATATTTTCGGCAAAGTGGAAGATACCCTGGAACCAAGAATTCATCGGTAGCAATGGAAGAATTGAAATTGGTTTTACAAAGGGTAAAGAAATCTGGCAACTGTTCCAAGAGAAAAGATTCCACGCTGCAGAAATTGGAATACAAGAGAAAGAAAAACTGAAGGAATAGGCTGGTTTAGTTTGATTTCTTTTTGTTGTGATTTTCATAAGATATTTTTTGAGGAGAGAAGAAAAAGATCACCATAATTGTTACTAAATGTCGTCAATGACAATACAGAACAGCCAGTGCGTGGCTGAGAGCAAGAGGATAATGTGGCCTCGGGGTTCCCCACCGGAAATAGATGCAGAGACACCTACTCATTCGTAACTTCACACTACAGATACCCCGATATTATACGTTGACCGGTGTAGATTGTTCTAGTACCACGTGCCATGCCTCTTCAATTATTTCCCTTTAACTCATCTCTCCAAGTTTTTTAGTTTACCACTGTTGTGGCCTGGTATTGAAGTCACAACTCTACCCCGGTGGACGAAATAAAGGGTTCGATTCGAAATTTTAATCACCTGAAGAAGGCCGGAGCCTACAACGCCCGAAACGTTGTGAATATGGCAATGAAGATGAGGATAACAGTCCAAATGATGTAAATAATGTAAGTAATCATAATACCTCATGTCAGAGATCAAATCACCAGAAGAAGGCTGGAGAGTACAACGGCCGAAACGTTGTGAATATGGCAATGAAGATGAGGATAACAGTCCAAATGATGTAAATAATGCAAGTAATCATAATACCTCATGTCAGAGATCAAATCACCAGAGAAGGCTGGAGAGTACAACGGCCGAAACGTTGTGAATATGGCAATGAAGATGAGGATAACAGTCAAATGATGTAAATAATGCAAGTAATCATAAAACCTCATGTCAGAGATTAAATCACCAGAGAAGGCTGGAGAGTACAACGGCCGAAACGTTGTGAATATGGCAATGAAGATGAGGATAACAGTCCAAATGATGTAAATAATGCAAGTAATCATAATACTCCATGTCAGAGATCAAATCACCAGAAGAAGGCTGGAGCGTACAACGGCCGAAACGTTGTGAATATGGCAATGAAGATGAGGATAACAGTCCAAATGATGTAAATAATGCAAGTAATCATAATACCTCATGTCAGAGATCAAATCACCAGAAGAATGCTGGAGCGTATAACGGCCGAAACGTTGTGAATATGGCAATGAAGATGAGGATAACAGTCCAAATGATGTAAATAATGCAAGTAATCATAATACCTCATGTCAGAGATCAAATCACCAGAAGAAGGCTGGAGCGTACAACGGCCGAAACGTTGTGAATATGGCAATGAAGATGAGGATAACAGTCCAAATGATGTAAATAATGCAAGTAATCATAATACCTCATGTCAGAGAACAAATCCCCTGAAGAAGGCCGGAGTGTACAACGGCCGAAACGTTGTGAATATGGCAATGAAGATGAGGATGACAGTCCAAATGATGTAAATAATGTAAGTAATCATAATACCTCATGTCAGAGATCAAATCACCAGAAGAAGGCTGGAGCGTACAACGGCCGAAACGTTGTGAATATGGCAATGAAGATGAGGATAACAGTCCAAATGATGTAAATAATGCAAGTAATCATAATACCTCATGTCAGAGATCAAATCACCAGAAGAAGGCTGGAGCGTACAACGGCCGAAACGTTGTGAATATGGCAATGAAGATGAGGATAACAGTCCAAATGATGTAAATAATGCAAGTAATCATAATACCTCATGTCAGAGATCAAATCACCAGAAGAAGGCTGGAGCGTACAACGGCCGAAACGTTGTGAATATGGCAATGAAGATGAGGATAACAGTTCAAATGATGTAAATAATGCAAGTAATCATAATACCTCATGTCAGAGATCAAATCACCAGAGAAGGCTGGAGCGTACAACGGCCGAAACGTTGTGAATATGGCAATGAAGATGAGGATAACAGTCCAAATGTTGTAAATAATGCAAGTAATCATAATAACTCATGTCAGAGAACAAATCCTCAGAAGAAGGCTGGAGCATACAACGGCCGAAACGTTGTGAATATGGCAATGAAGATGAGGATAACAGTCCAAATGATGTAAATAATGCAAGTAATCATAATACCTCATGTCAGAGATCAAATCACCAGAAGAAGGCTGGAGCGTACAACGGCCGAAACGTTGTGAATATGGCAATGAAGATGAGGATAACAGTCCAAATGTTGTAAATAATGCAAGTAATCATAATACCTCATGTCAGAGATCAAATCACCAGAAGAAGGCTGGAGCGTACAACGGCCGAAACGTTGTGAATATGGCAATGAAGATGAGGATAACAGTCCAAATGATGTAAATAATGCAAGTAATCATAATACCTTATGTCAGAGATCAAATCACCAGAAGAAGGCTGGAGCGTACAACGGCCGAAACGTTGTGAATATGGCAATGAAGATGAGGATAACAGTCCAAATGATGTAAATAATGCAAGTAATCATAATACCTCATGTCAGAGATCAAATCACCAGAAGAAGGCTGGAGCGTACAACAGCCGAAACGTTGTGAATATGGCAATGAAGATGAGGATAACAGTCCAAATGATGTAAATAATGCAAGTAATCATAATACCTCATGTCAGAGATCAAATCACCAGAGAAGGCTGGAGAGTACAACGGCCGAAACGTTGTGAATATGGCAATGAAGATGAGGATAACAGTCCAAATGATGTAAATAATGCAAGTAATCATAATACCTCATGTCAGAGATCAAATCACCAGAAGAAGGCTGGAGCGTACAACGGCCGAAACGTTGTGAATATGGCAATGAAGATGAGGATAACTGTACGAATAATGTCAATGATATAAGTTTTCTTTTCATCTGTGAGGAAATTGACTTGCATTCACTACCACATCGGAGGATCTATATTGTATAATACTTGATTTGATGTAAATAATGCAAGTAATTATAATACGTCATCTCAGAGATATAGACAGACATTTCTAACTATTGCTTCATTAAAACGGTTATGATTTAACAGGATCTGTACTTAAACTTTTGGACATCGTTAGTATTAAATATTTCCATGAATATCAATATTTTATCATAATAACCTCTGCATAAGTACTTGACCTCTTCAACTGAGTCTTGTTTTCTGTTGTCTTCCATAAGATTTTTTTCCTGCATCTCTTTGCTTGTATAATAACCCGAATCAACAACCAGATTCCACTGTCTCCTTGGAAGTAATTCCCTTGGGAGTCAACAAAAAAAGGTGTCCATAAAAAATAACTGAGAAATATCTGTATTGAATTAGTCTTATACACCAAAGCACCCCGCCTCCCCGGAATTGGATAGAAAATAGATTCATCTGTCTATATTTCTGAGATAAGGTATTATGTACACTATTTACATTATTTGGACTATTGCCCTCATCTTTGTCGCCATATTTATTATTACAACGTTTCGGCCGTTGTACGCTTCGGCCTTCTTCAGTATCTGTCTATATTTCTGAGATGAGGTATTATGTACACTATTTACATTATTCGGACTATTGTCCTCATCTTTGTTACCATATTTATTACAACGTTTCGGCCCTTCAGTATCTATCTATCTACTATCTATATTTCTCATGCTGTCTGTTTGTGTGTCTGTCGTGGGCGTCGTTACCTCGCCCAGGCCGCATTTCTCACCCGATTTTGATGCGGTTTTCACCATAATTTTACAAATGGCTGCCGTAAGGAGATGACGGAGCCCGATGTTTGAGTTCGGACTCAGGTTCCGAAAAAATCGATAATCAAAAAAATCTGCTTACAGACGGAATGATCGCATTTCAACCAAATTTGACACTCTCTTAGAGTCTGTTGACCAGAAGTTTCATGACCACGGACCCCTAAACAGCGCGGAAAATCAATAAAGCCCCAAAACCGATACACCCAGATTGCGCCTGAACCGCATGTCGGTTTTTAGTGAAAACCGACCGGATTTATGAGTGGGCCATTGGGAATCACCATGTGAAGTTTCAACTCTGAGCGCCCCCCAAACAGAGTGCAAATCGATAATCGGTCAACCCTTAAAAATGTTTTTCCGGTCGGGTATTTCCTAAATGCAGATTAATTTAAGGTCACGTTAGGCGAGAGAAGAAACAGGTCAGTGCGTGCAGTGGAGTGGAAGAAAACATTTGACCTCAAATTCTGGAATGGGTGCAGGGCTATTGAAATTCGGCTTTTTTTTATCCCTGCTACCAGGTCTGACTTTGAGCCACAAATGACATATTCGACTTTGTCAACACTTTTGCTTTAATCGATGCATCTTACCAAAATAAGCACTTCCTTTATTCGCGTCTTTACTGAAAAAAACCCCCCAAAAAACCCGCATACGTGCTGTGTAAAAATGGTTCAGCCCTCAGCAGTCCATTTTCCAATTCTTTAAACCTTTTCCCTTAGCCCAGGCCGCATCCCAGACCTGACGAGGAGTTTTTGCGTTAAAACAGCAGGGTTTCCTCCCAATCCATTTCAAAGCTAATGCCGGCAAACGGTTAACGGCTTTTCGTTGTCGCACAAACCAAACGAACAAGCGCTTCATTGCAGCTCCTTGCATTCTCATCGCCGGCATCACGTGCGTTAGAGCCAAGCTGCATATGCAGCAGCCAGCTTGACCCCGTTTACGGCCAAGCCTTGCGCTTGCCAAATCATGCGCGCGTGCGTGAATGCGCGCTAGCATCTTCCATTTTGCGTGAGCTCATTCATTGGTCTAAGTCATGGCCATTGTCCAGGCTACACCAATCACGCTTCCTTTAAATACCTTCAGCGCGGCTGCATCCGCACTCACGTCTTGATTTGATCGCCATTAACGCATCTGTCCTTGGATTAATTGACAGCTTCCTGTTACCGCAAGTTACCTATTTGCTTAAACGTTTGCATTACCCATTTTATCTCCGCGTGCTGCCTTTACTGCGCAGCCCAGTCCATCTTAGCGTTCCATACCTATTTCTACCTTTTCGTAGTTCCGTTTTGCTATTAGACAGTTAACTGCTGACGCAAGTTACATCTCTTCTGCCTTTATTATGCGTCCCAGTACGCCTCAATGTTTCACTACTTTTTAACGCTTCAACGTTTTGGTTGTGTAACCTCTTCCTACAGCGACGTTTTCGTGCTGCCAGAAAGCACGGCCCATAGCTAGGAGAAGCTTTTTCCATACCGCTTCACAGCATTTTTAGTTTTCGTATACAACGAGGTTACACCGCTTCAGCTTCGGCATCAACTTCTATTCACGCACTTACACTGCATTTCTACAACCCCTTCAAAAGGCTCCTACACGACGAAGATCCGCACGTCAGCAACTGAAGACCCCTAATACCGTTAACGTTACACATGCAGAACAGGCGACTGCGGAGGAGCATATAATAACTCCGGCTACAGATGATTATATAGCATCTGCTTCAACCTCTGCTTCGCACTCTTCTGCGTGCCGTGGCGATGACCAACCCGGCAGATCGGCAAAGGCTGCAAAAACACCCAGGCGAGGCGACCTTAGCAGGCATTCTAAAAATTCCTCACCAGCTAAGGGGAAACGGGAGCAGGATTCCATTGAGTGCACCTCTTTGGTGGAGAAGCGGATGGCGTCTACTTCAACCTCTGCTTTGCACTCTTCTGAGTGCCGTGGCGATGACCGACCCGGCAGCTTTACTAAGCGTACCAAAATACCATGGCGAGGCAACATTAGCAGGCGTTCTAAAAGAGCCTCTGCGGCAAAGAGAAAACGGGAGGAGGAAACCGAGGTAGAGGCCTCTTTGAGGCTTTCCAGTCAATCTCAACGGAGGCTGGATGTTTTGTCACATGAAACGCTTGGTGAGCGTAAATACCGTTTGTACTGCAAATCAGTTTACACATATTCGTTGAAAAGTAAGAAGAAACTACCTAAACGCTAAAAGCGGCTTCATCACAAGCGCTTTTGCGATCTCGACAGAGCTCGCATCGAAAAGCTACTCGCAATGCAGCCGACGTCGCTGCAACTTCCATTCGACGGTCCCAGGAGACCACGGCTGAGAAAACCGCACGTAACGCAGCGAAAGCTGCGGCAACGTCCATTCGACGGTCCCAGGAATCCATGGCTGAGAAAACCGCACGCCACGCAGCCGACGCCGCTGCAAATTCTGCTGCAAGGGCGTCGGAAAGTTCTGCGCAAATGCGCACAAGGCGGCAACGCGATGCAATTTCAACTTCCGCTGCTAGAGTTGTAGAAGGATCCACTGAAAGGCTTGAAAGGTTGCAGACTGTTAACCAGCGCCGACATGCACTGCGAGGGCTCTGTAGCCCACCAAAGCAGTTTTGGCGTTCAACTATGAGCCAGTTTCGAGGCTTTCCGGTCGCAAAACCTCCGAATAGGATCCATGTCAGTTGCAATGCCAAAAAATGGCCTGGAGAGTCTGCAGGTTTGTGTTGTTCAGACGGTAAGGTACAGTTGCCACCTTTTCAAGAGCTACCTGCTCCGTTGAAAAGCTCTGTTGGAGGGTTCCAGTCCAGTCTCCAAACATTTCCTCGCATAAATCAGACAGTACAATTGTGCCTTCCAGATGACCTCTTTTGGCGGTAATGCCTTCCGCGAAGTCGGTTGGAATCCCACCTTCAAGGTTCAAGGTCAGGTTTACCACCGGATTGGGTCTCTTTTGCCGGAAAACTGCCACTGATTCGGCCTTTCTACAAATATACTTCATAGCTGACTACAATCAACAGGCAGATGCCTGTATGGACATTATTCCCGAGAACGATACAGGCCAGGACAATCATCCTCGCAGGGATATCATAATGAGTCTCCAACAAATGCTCCACGAGACAAACAGCTATGTCCGCAGTTTTAAGTATGCTCTCGAAAATAACACTTTTTCTGATTTCATTATTGTAATTGATGCTGACAAACTGCCTCAGGGAGAACACGAACGTCGTTACAATGCTCCCGCAAGTAACGAAGTTTCCGTCATTGTCAGCGGTGATCAGCACAACAGACGTGACATTGTTATCGAATTGCGCGGCAGTGGGCTCCGAAGAATCAGTGAAACGCACCGGTCCTACGATGCACTGCAATACCCACTTCTCTTCCCTTACGGAGAAGATGGGTACCACTTTGGCATTCTGCAAAATGGGTCCACCTTAAAAACAGTGTCTTGCAGGGATTTCTACGCCTACCTATTGATTGTACATGAGGATGCATTCAATCATCTTCATCGAAGCCGGCAACCTTTCTATCAATTCATAGTAGACATGGCTGCTAAGATGGAATCCGAAAGACTCTGTTACATCAGATTGAATCAGGCCAAGTTGCGCTGCGACTCTTACATTCACCTCCGTGATGCTTTACGAAATTACGCTGATCCATGCAATATAAAGGTGTGCATACTACCTGCAACGTTCACAGGCAGTCCACGATACATGCACGCGAGGACGCAAGACGCGATGACATACGTTCGTAAGTTAGGCTGACCAGACCTATTCATAACTTTCACGTGTAACCCAAAATGGTACGCAATTACTAAAGAACTTATGCCAGGGCAATCGGCCTACGCCCGTCCAGACTTCATTGCGCGCGTTTACCATCTGAAGTTGGGAAAGCTAATGGATGTGATTACAAAGGGTCAGGTTTTTGGGGCTGTTTGCTGTTGCATGCACACTATTGAGTGGATCTTGTCACTGGATCTAACTAACGCCTTTATCCACTGTGCCATGTGTCCTTGAGGACCCAAAGAGTGTGAGTTCAATACCAGGTTAAGGCGGTGGAGAACTTGGAAAGGGGAATTAACAGGAGATAACCAGTAAGAGACATCCATTAAACATGGCACGTGGAACTAGAACAGTCTACCCCAGTGAGCGAAATAAACGGTTCAGTTCGAAATTCCAACTACCTGAAGAAGGCCGGAGCGTACAACGGCCGAAACGTTGTAATAATAAATATGGCGACAAAGATGAGGACAATAGTCCGAATAATGTAAATAGTGAAAATAGATTGAGTAGACAAAAATAAAAGGTGCATGCGACAAAAAATGAGTCTACTCAGCGGATTTATTTAGCCCCTACAGTGAACCTATCCAAAGGGAGTTGAGTCTATACCAGGAATTACTATCGAGTCGGCGCAATCAAATAATATTAGATACACAGCTTATACAATGTTGAGGGCAGACACGGAATGAAAACACCAGATCCTAGAAAAAGTAGCAAAGGAAAGCGAGAAGAAGGGACGGACTATCAAATCTAAGAAGACGTGCCAACAAAAAACAAAAAAACAAAATGCAATCTACAAACCTGAGATAGCAAATTCAAATAAGTACAGGAGTTTAATTATATAGGAAGGGCTTTAACAGAGGATGGAAAATGCGACATCAAAATCCTTACGCGCACTAGAATAACAAAAAGATGAACACCAAAAAGCTAAGTAAAGTATTCAGAAACTGGAAAATTTTGCCAGAAACCAAAGTGTTGTAAAATCCTCCAATATGGTTGTTAATGGTGGACAAACTCTTTACAGATGGAGAGAAGAGTAAAGGGAATATAAAAGTAGCCCTACAGAAGGATGCTGAGAATACAATGGACTGATAGCGTAAGGAACAAAGATGTCTTAAGGAAAATAGAAATAAAACAATTTATACAGAGACAGAATGAGACAGTTGAAATTTCTAGAACATAATGAGGTAGTGGGGTTCACCTGAACAAGGGGTCACACTCTGAAGGCAAAAGGGACAATGGGCAATCTGTTTGAGCAGCTTGTGTGAATGGGTGAGAGAACGAGGGGCTAGACGTATGGCAAGAGATAAACGCTACTAAGAGCTATAAGGGATTGGAAGCTGTGGCGAGTCATGACTGCCCGCACATTGAATGGAAATGGCAGAAAGAGGAAGAAGTACAGATAATTATGAATGTGAATGACGATTCCTGAAAATATTGGTAGTTTTTTTTTCTTCAGTTTTTCAATCTAAAATCTGAAGACAAAGACAAAATAAATTTGTCGCCGAGCAAATTTGAATTTCATTTTGACACAGTACCTAGGCCGGTTATAACCAATATTTCTGAGGACATATTACACAGTTTCTTCTCATAGTTGTTATCATGATAAAAATACTGTCTGTGTAAAACATTATGAATATACAACAGACGAGTTATCATTGATGGGAGGTTTGTTTTTTTCGTTTTTTTTCACTGTTTTTCTTTTCTGATAAAAATTTGAAACATTGTCTAGAATGAGATCCGAAATGAAGTCACCATTGATAAAAGATGAAAAAAAAAGATTTGATATTTTTGAAAGGTTTGTCTGATTCATTATTAAAAATGCGTATAAAGAAGCCAAAGGATAAAATATTATATGTTCATGTAGCAGGAGTGAAGGTTAGATAAAATTAAAATGAGAGAGAAAGAGGAAAGCATAAAGTAGGGGAGTAGGAGTGATAACAAATGGGGTGACGTTTGGGTTAGGAAAAGAGGGAGAAAGAAGAGAGGGGTGAATAAAAGAATGGCATCAAAGAGAGTAAGACCATACGTTGAGAGGGAAAGAAAAAAGGAAAAGAAAAGAGGATTGAAAGAAAAAGAAAGAAAGAAAGAAACAAAGAAAGAAAGACAGAGATTAAAAAGAATAGAAAGAAGAATAAGAAGGACGCATACAGTGAAGATAGATAATAAGACGAATAAATTGGAAGAAAGAAGAGAGGAAGAAAGAAAAGAATAAAGAGAGGAGAGGAAAAGCGGGGAAGACATTGGAAGAAAATGTTTGTTGGAAATTTGAATTAACTGTTATGGTTGCACTGAACTATAAAAAATGACACCATTTCCTAATTCGATTTCATCCGATTAATTAAAACGACGGAGAAAAAAAGATGGCATGGATATGAATAAGAAAGAAAGAAGAATGAAAGAAAGAAGGATGTAAAGAAGGAAGAAAGCGGGCAAAAAAAAAAAGAAAGAATAAAGGAAAAGAAATCAGGAAAGAAGAGAGAGATAAGAAAATAAAGAAGAAAGAAAGAAGGAAGGATGAATGAATGAACGAAGGAAAGAGGAAAGGAAAGAAAGAGGTAAGGAGAATGAAAGAAAGAAGTACAGAAGGAAGAAAACAGGTAAAAGAAAAAAGAAAGAATAAAGAAAAAGGAAGAGAGATAAAGAAATAAAGAAAGAAAGACAGAAGGATGAATGAACGACGGAAGGAAGGAAGGAAGTAGGTAAGAAGAATAAAGGGAGGAAGTAAAAAAGGAAGAAAGAAGGCAAAAGCAGGAAGAAAGAAAAGATAAAGGATAGAAATAAGCAAGTAAAGAAAAAAGAAAGAAGGAAGGAAGGAAAGAAAGAAGTAAATAAGAAAGGTAGGATGAAAAAATAAGGAAGAAGGTAAGAAGAATGAATGAAAGATAGAAATAAAGAAGAAAGATAGAAGGTGAAAGAAGGAAGAAAGACAGAAAAATGAATGAACGAAAGAAATGAAAAAGAAAGAGGAAGTAAAGAAGAAAGAAAGGAAGGAAATGAAAAAGAAAGGAAAGAGAAAAGAAAGCAGAAAGGAAGATGGAAACATGAAAGAAGACAGAAAAAAGAAGAAGGAAAGAAATAAATAAAGAAAGAAAGAAATAAGAACGGAAGAGAGAAAAAAAATGAAGTAATGAGCAAAGAAAGAAAGAAGAAAAGAAAGAATGGAGAATGAAAGAAAAAGGAAGTAAGAACAAAAGCAAAAATAAAGAAAGAAGAAACAAAAATAAAGAATAAGGGAAAGAAAAAAGAAAGGAAGAAGGAAAAAAGGAAATAGAATGGAAAGAAAGGAAGTAGGAAACAAAGAAAAAAGGAAGAACGAAAGAAGAAAGAAACAAAGAAATAAAGAATAAAGGAAAGAAATAAGAAAGAAAAATAAAAATAAAGCATTATTTACATTATTCAGACTATCATCCTCATCTTCTGTCATCATATTTATTACAATGTTTCGGCCGTTGTAGGCTCCGGCCGTCTTCAGGTGGTTGGAATGTCGAACTTAACCCTTTATTTCGCTCACTGGGGTAGACTGTTCTAGTTCCACGAGCCATATTTTAATGGATGTCAGTTGTCAGTTAAATGGAACGTTTAATGGATATCAGTCTACCCCAGTGAGCGAAATAAAGGGTTAAGTTCGACATTCCAACCACCTGAAGAAGACCGGGCCGTACAACGGCCGAAACGTTGTAATAAATATGGCGACAAAGATGACGAAAATAGTCCGAATAATGTAAATAATGTACATAATACCTCACCTCAGAAATATAAAAAGATACTGAAGTGCCGAAACGTTGTAATAAATATGGCGACAAAGATGAGGACAATAATCCGAATAATGTAAATAGTGTACATAATACATCATCTCAGAATATAGACAGATACTGAAGGGCCGAAACGTTGTAATAAATATGGCGACAAAGATGAGGGACAATAATCCGAATAATGTAAATAGTGTACATAATACATCATCTCAGAATATAGACAGATACTGAAGGGCCGAAACGTTGTAATAAATATGGCGACAAAGATGAGGACAATAATCCGAATAATGTAAATAGTGTACATAATACATCATCTCAGAATATAGACAGATACTGAAGGGCCGAAACGTTGTAATAAATATGGCGACAAAGATGAGGACAATAATCCGAATAATGTAAATAGTGTACATAATACATCATCTCAGAATATAGACAGATACTGAAGTGCCGAAACGTTGTAATAAATATGGCGACAAAGATGAGGACAATAATCCGAATAATGTAAATAGTGTACATAATACATCATCTCAGAATATAGACAGATACTGAAGTGCCGAAACGTTGTAATAAATATGGCGACAAAGATGAGGACAATAGTTCGAATAATGTAAATAATGTACATAATACCTCACCTCAGAAATATAAAAAGATACTGAAGTGCCGAAACGTTGTAATAAATATGGCGACAAAGATGAGGACAATAATCCGAATAATGTAAATAGTGTACATAATACATCATCTCAGAATATAGACAGATACTGAAGGGCCGAAACGTTGTAATAAAATGGCGACAAAGATGAGGACAATAGTCCGAATAATGTAAATAGTGTACATAATACATCATCTCAGAATATAGACAGATACTGAAGGGCCGAAACGTTGTAATAAATATGGCGACAAAGATGAGGACAATAGTCCGAATAATGTAAATAGTGTACATAATACATCATCTCAGAATATAGACAGATACTGAAGGGCCGAAACGTTGTAATAAATATGGCGACAAAGATGAGGACAATAATCCGAATAATGTAAATAAGTGTACATAATACATCATCTCAGAATATAGACAGATACTGAAGGGCCGAAACGTTGTAATAAATATGGCGACAAAGATGAGGACAATAATCCGAATAATGTAAATAGTGTACATAATACATCATCTCAGAATATAGACAGATACTGAAGTGCCGAAACGTTGTAATAAATATGGCGACAAAGATGAGGACAATAATCCGAATAATGTAAATAGTGTACATAATACATCATCTCAGAATATAGACAGATACTGAAGTGCCGAAACGTTGTAATAAATATGGCGACAAAGATGAGGGACAATAGTTCGAATAATGTAAATAATGTACATAATACCTCACCTCAGAAATATAAAAGATACTGAAGTGCCGAAACGTTGTAATAAATATGGCGACAAAGATGAGGACAATAATCCGAATAATGTAAATAGTGTACATAATACATCATCTCAGAATATAGACAGATACTGAAGGGCCGAAACGTTGTAATAAATATGGCGACAAAGATGAGGACAATAATCCGAATAATGTAAATAGTGTACATAATACATCATCTCAGAATATAGACAGATACTGAAGGGCCGAAACGTTGTAATAAATATGGCGACAAAGATGAGGACAATAATCCGAATAATGTAAATAATGTACATAATACATCATCTCAGAATATAGACAGATACTGAAGGGCCGAAACGTTGTAATAAATATGGCGACAAAGATGAGGACAATAATCCGAATAATGTAAATAGTGTACATAATACATCATCTCAGAATATAGACAGATACTGAAGGGCCGAAACGTTGTAATAAATATGGCGACAAAGATGAGGACAATAATCCGAATAATGTAAATAATGTACATAATACCTCTTCTCAGAAATATAGACAGATACAGAAATAAAGCAGTAAAAAGAAAGATAGGAAGAAGAAAGGAAAATCAAAGATGAAAGAAGGAAGGAAGAACAAGCGAAGAAATAAATAAAGGGCGAAGAAAAAAGGAAACAAGAAATAAAGAAATAAGCAAATAAATAAGAAAGGCAGAAGGAATGGTGAAAGAAAGATAAAAGAAAAAAGAAAGAGATAAGGAAAGATAAAAAAAAACAAAAAACAAAGTAAGAATTCTTAAAGGAAAGAAAAATGATAGAAAGGAAATATCAGGAGCTGAATAGATATTTTTTTATTTGAAATTTATTTTATATTAGCTTAAAAGCCGCCCTATCAGGAGACATTTATTCTAGCTTCTTCGCGGGGTTCTTGATTGCGTCTTATCTCAATAGGTAGGGAGGAGTAGATGTGTTAGGCAACAATAAACTACAGAAGAACTCAAAATTCATCGATGCATTTAAGTATTGCATTAATATAAAAGCTTATCTTTTAAAAGTTCAACGCTAATTTTTCTCCCGCCATTTAATTTAAAGACAATTTGATGTACGTAGGTCCTTACCTTCCGTACAAACAATTATTTTTTTACTTCATGATTGGCTTTTGCTGGATTTCGCAATTAATTACGATTATTTCCAAATTTATTTCCAAGTTATAAAAATGGTTATCGTATAAAAAAATTCGCCGCAAAAAATCACTTAAAATATCGCCGAAGCAATGAAAACTTGGGAATCCAAAATTTCAGGATGGCGGGTTCGAATCTGGACCGAAATGTCTTTAATTTGCTCCCGAAGTCGGCCTGATTCCAGAAACGCGGCCTCTTGGAGTAAAGTTGAAAACACAGAAACTGTTACTTTGAAACACTAATATTTTATTTGAACATGAGGTATTGAAAGTTAGAGAATTTTGAGCAGAAGATCACTTAAATGTTAGCCGATAGGGTGTTTTTAATCCGGTATATATATATATATATATATATATATATATATATATATATATATATATGTGTGTGTGTGTGTGTGGTGTGTGTGTGTGTGTGTGTCTGTGTGTGTATATATATATATATATATATATATATATATATATATATATATCTCTCTCTTTCTCTATATATATATATATATCCTCTCTCTCTTTATATATATATATATATATATATATATATATATATATATATGTGTGTGTGTGTGTGTGTATGCGTGTGTATAAATGTATATATATCCTCCTCCCTCCCCTCTCTCTCTCTCTCTGTATATATATGATAAAATAGTGTCGCCACTTTGTGTTAACCTCAGTGTCCATTCTTATCTTTACACGCTCTATCCCGAGTATTGAACACTTTTGTCCATAAATATAGCACACGTTAAAACTATATATATATGTCGGTCTGTATATATATATATATATATATATATATATATATATATATATATATATATATATATATATATATATATGTCGTTTTGCAATATCTTAATGTTTTTACATTGTTAATATTTTTGGAGTATTTCCACTTCTTCTCGTTCTCTCTTTAACTCGCTTGCTATTATCGTCTGCATTCACTCAATGCCTACATTCTATTCTTTCTTACTCTCTTTCTTCTGTGTCCATTTAAAAAAAAAAAAGCAACTTTCTTTCATCAATTCGTTATTTTCAGTATTTCCTTTTATTAAATTATAACAGACGATGAAAAATATCGCACCGAAACTGAAAAACGCATTGGAATAGCAAAAGATGTTTTTTCAAAAACTAAACAAAATGCTAAGAAACAGAAAATCTTCGTTAGGCAAAAAAAGCAAACAGTTGTGAATTACCATCTTTCATATGGTATTGAATGTTATTATTAAAGCATTTGATATGGTAGTGAATGCTGGACAATTTCCTCACAGGTGAAGAGTGGACTTGAGGCAACAGAAATTTTGGTCTACATAAGGATAATGAGAATACCATGGAAGGGCATGCAAGCAATTAGGAAGTTTTAAGGAAAATAGAAACAAAATGGACAGTTATACATACGATAAAAAAAGAAAAAAAAACAGTTGAAATTACACAGACAGATGGTGAGAAAAGAAGGCCAGGAATATTCGAGACCCCTATGGTATATTGAAGGCAGGAAGTACAGAGGGAAATAGCGAGTAACCTATTTGTCGAGATGATGGCAGAACAGGGCGGAGGGATAGTAAAAAGACAAACATGACTCAGAGTTACGAAAGATAGGAAGACGTGGAGAGTCATGATCGTCTATGTTCTGAAAAGACACGGCATACAAAAGAAGTTTTTCATCCTTTTCCATATAACCTCTGCATATCCCTTTAAGGTCTTCTACCACTGAGCAATATTTAGAAAAGCAGATAACTAAATGTAATATCAGTTCTCCGATATCCTCACAGATGAAGAAGAGACTGGAGGAACAGAAATTTGGTCCTACAGAAGGAAGCTGAGAATGCCATGGACCGAATATGTGAGTAACGACGAAGTTTTAGAGAAAATGGAAATAAGGACACTTAAACTTAACATCAGGAAGAGATGCGTAATGAGGAGAGAGGGCTTGGAAAATTGGATACTCACAGGACAGACTGAAAGCAAGAGGGATAGGAAATCAACGCATAAATGGATGACAGAAAAAAGGTTGACATGGTAACAAAATGACAAATCTTATTACAAACGACATGAAATTGTGGAGAGCCAATATGTTGAAGATGCATGTATACATAAAAGATAAAGATAGCAAGTAATTCCTTTTGAATTCGATCGCT